CTCACACAACAAATCTCCCATATGGCAAAAATCAATAAGCAGAGCAACATCCTATTGATCATATCTATATCTTAGATACACTCTAATGTCATGCTCCACTAGCCCTAGTGTGTGTGTGTGTGTGTGTGTGTGTGTGTGTTTATGGAAGCAAGGGGGTGCTACGTTCTTCTCAATGAAAAATTTAAATCGAATTAAAATTATGCCTCAGATAAAGGGATTATTTTCCACTCAATTGTTTATATGCATTATTGGGTGTCTAATGAAGCTTTACATTGTCTGATTCCACATGGAAATGAAAAGCATGCACTGATGCAATATGCAATAAACTGTAATGCAATGTAGTTTCCAGCTAATTTTTCAATAAATTAAAGGCAGTTTTTACATTTTATGAGACGGGAGCCTTCAGATGGAGTGTAACATAACAGCACTGATTGATATTTGTTGTTTGTCTGAACGGGTCCTGAAAGAGAGCTGGTATTTAAAATTTGTGCTTATTAAAATTTGTTACCACTTCACGTTTGTGACATCAGAAAGTGTCAGGTCAAAACTGTGTACGGCTTTCTTTTGAAATTATGAACTACTAAACTAACATACATTCACTGCATCATTCATAGACATATACAGTATTTCTTTTCTAAAACCAGAATTAACCTTGAGTCAAATGATAAATTTAACTTTTAAAGCTTTACTGAATGCTTGTAAAATCTCATTACCACTCAGCAGTCAGTTCATTTCATAAGAAAGGCAAAAAAACATTGCCGTCATCAGTTCCTGTGATATAAAAGACCTTAATGCGATATGAATGAAACGTCTCAGATAAATTCTCTCATTGATTTCTCTATATTTTCACACTGTAATGACAAGGCACAGGGTTGCCCTCCACAGGCAGCCAACTGACATAACAGAAATAAAAGGATACATTCTTGTTGAATATCTCGCCTGCAAAGTTACCAAAACAAACCACACGGACTCACTTGTACTCTCGACAACTTGCGGTTGTTACCCTAACATTTTCTTTCCGACTCCCTAACTTCCTTCACCTCTCTACTTTGTTTTCTCCCTCTCCCCCTTTCTGTCCCCCCTCCCCCCCGCCGCAGCTCAAAGTTATTGATAGTTTAAAGTTATGGGCTAATAATAAGATGGACACTGCATGGCCAGGAGCCTATTATACCCAGGTAATGGATAGTGCGGGGGTTTTGAATGACATTGCCCAGAGATTGGATGACAAAGGGTGGAGCGATTTATGGGCTACCCAAAGAGACCCCCTTCCCCTTCTCTCTCTCTCTGTCGCTCACACACATACACACAAGCACACACACAGCCCACCATGCTATTTATCTCTAGCCTGATAAGGAAGCAGATGAGGCATGCCTGTATTTATGGTGAAGATGTTCAGAGAAACTATTGGCTCAGAGTAGGAAGTTAGAATCGACTCAGAGGAACAGCATATCCACTCAGAACTCGGTATGCACCTCGTTGGTACTTTACAGTGCAAACTACATAAATACAATTTTGTGGATGTTCTTGGTTTAAATGAGGCATGACATGACATTGTCGAGGTGTGATTATTCAACCATTTCTCTTTTTAAACATCTTTAAACCCACTAATTTCAAAGATGTATGGATGTTGTTGACAAAATCGGGGAAATAATTGTTTGATTCCTTTCTGAGAAACACTAACTGTGCTGTTAGACTCTGTATGTTACTGCATTGATCAAAACGGAATTCTTCAGTGATGAAGTGGTGATGCAGTGTAACAGATACAGATATGCCCTGGATGCTACTTTCACTCAAACTGAGCATCATCTGCCATTAGTTAATGAAACTTAAAACCCTGGTTGCAGAGGCCAGCGGAGCAGACATGCACTTATACCAGGTCCACAGTATGTTTGCTCAGAATGGCCTGCTCAGATCTCTATTGAGAAAAATCACAGCAACAGTAGAGACACTTCAGACAGTGTTGTCAGGATGCAGGGGGAAAGAGGAGCAGCAGGGAGGGCATGAGGGAGTGCAATGAAAAAGGCTTGTCAACATTATCTGTTTTATTGATTTAACAGTAAAAGCTTGCCGCTTAAGCTTTATGTTGCTTTGGCTGGCCCCATTGAAAATACTACAGCCACAAATAAAAAACGATTTCCTAAAAAACTTGAGCATTTTTATTTATTTTTTATTTTTTATCTCCTGCCTGCCGGCTCAGGTTTTGCATGCATTATTGTTAAAGTTTCACACATTCCATCATCTTTATGAGCAACCATTATGGTGGGACTATGTACAACTGTGGTCTCTCGAAGAAAGGCATCAATGACATTGAAGAGAGCAAGACTGTCTTCTACAGAACAAAACTGGTCTAATGCAGTGTCTAATTTCTGAATGGGTGATTAAGGATGAGGAAAAAATGGCCCATGTTTCATGTTCAAGAGTCGCCCACCATGCTAACAGCCGTATGAGGCTTTACTTAAGCCCAGCTATGTTATGAGCTCACATCAGCATGCTAACATGCTACCAAAGATAATGCTAGATTGGTAATCTTTAGCATGTATATTGTCTACTATCTTTTTGTTTAGTGTGTTAGCATGCTAATTAGCACTAACCACAAGCTGATGCTGATGGGAATGTTATTAGGTTTCCAGTTATTTGGTCAAGTACTGGACAAACCGAAATTTGACATGTTAATGTCAACCTGCTGGTGTTGCTTAAGCAAAACTTAGGTGATCACCAAAGTCATTAAATAGAACCTCTGGGAAACACAAAATTTGGAGACAATCATAAAAATGTTTTGACCAAGGGATCATAATCAAAATATCATGATTCATTCATAGTCCATGTTTCATGACTTAAAAACTATGTCCCGACTCCTTACCTGGTGCAGTTTTCTCTTTTATCAACGCAGAAAACATGAACAGTACAGATGGATGGAAATTCTCCCAAAACACACATGATTTTGAGGATTACCACATTAAGTCTCACTAGACCCCATGCAGACCAGAGAGAAGTGGGGTTAACAGAGTGTTTAATTGGAGCGGCTTGAAGCCTCGTAGGGTTCCTGTTGTGTCCTGACCTGTTGAGGCTCAGCAAAGAAACAGTACGTAGCTCTATTATGCCAGAGCAGCTGGTTATTACCAGGGGCCTCGTACAGCTACCCAGAAGCCCTGTCTGGGTTATTTTATTCATTTGAGGAATTTACTGGCATTTTCTTGAAGAGTGCAGCATGCATAACCAAAGGATGGAATAATCAGTGAGGGTTGCATGCAAAAGAGGTAGCACAAGGTGAGATGTTGGTATTTTCTTAAAATTGGGTTGTTAATGTTGTGCTGAGAAGAGGTGTTTCAGAACCAGGTCTTCAAAAGAGGCAACAGTTGCAAACGTCATCACTATCTTTGTTTGACAAAAGTGGTGCTTGATTTTTGTTTTTTGTATAAAATGTGCTTTTATTTACAATATGTGGCTGCAATAGTTTCTATTAAATAAAGGACATATGAACAGACAGGTGTCAGACGGACAGGGGGACAGCTGAACGAACAGAGACGGACAGATGCATGAAACATAGAAATCCGTACGATGTGTTAACATGTGAAGCTGTAAAGTCATATAATAGGAGCCCAGAAAAACCTTCTGTATTAATTACTGTTGACATGGAAAAATGTAATTAGATATGAGGGGGAAACAGAAACTATTTATGGCAACCGAGGGGCCTTGCTTAATGATCAGACTGCAGCTAAAACCTCTATTGATTTTCTCGTTAAATATACAGCTCAATTAAAGATACAGCTGATTAAAAGACGACTACAAGTTGCAGCAGCAGATCTGGACATGCTGAGGAAGCTGGGTAACATGGAGCCGCCTGCCGCAGAATTACATGATTTCTCCCTCACCTTCTCCCCCATCACTGCAGTGCGGTGGGAAATGAGGCTACGCAGGTATTACTCTTTTTCCATGTGAAAACCAATATTTCTCAAAGTCGCGACCATTTACGAATGGAGGTATGTTAGATATACTGCTTGTAACAAAACAACGCGTTGAATTCCAGCACTAAAAGCACAAAATCAGCGGCGATAACCAACAAACAACAATAATGCTGACCTCTGAATACTTAAAGAAGAAATAATCAAACAAACAATACAAATCGACTTTCCTTGTTAAAATGAAGCACCTGCTTAACACAAGCCAGACCAAGGCTTTTTTCCCCTTTCTGCCTCAGCCTTGTCACTGACAAATAAAAACCTTGACAGTCTGTGTACCCTAACCACGAGAGAAGGGCAGAATTACAATGTATAATGGAAAACCTTTCTGTTTCTCATTGAAGACAAAAAAAAGCAGTTTAAAGTCTATAAAGTGTTGGAAGTTTTTATTTTATTTTATGTTTTTAAGTTGCTCACAAGTTTTAGCAGTGGAATTATTTTGTCTTACATTTTTTCTACTTTATTACAAATGACAGATGGCTGTTTTCAAGAATGTTTAGGTAGCAAAATTCAAGTTGTTTTTCTGTGACCAAAAGTGCTTCATCTTACAGAGTGATCTATATTAACATTTGTAAAACTTTTGGACGTCCCGATAGCTCACAAGGTAGAGCTGGCTCCCCTCGCTCTCTCCCCCCTTGCCTGTCACTCATCAGCACTCACTATCGATTAAAGGCAAAAAAAAACAAAAAAAAAACAACAGCAACTAATATTTTACATTTGGATCACAGATTGTGCCCTTAAATAAATGCTTTTATTTTCTCTGTTCTATTGATTCCTGCATTTCTCTGTGGTCGGGCAAAGACCTTGTATGACCAGAATGTCAATCTTTCACATGATGAGCTATAATGATTTTGCCTTCATATGACCATCATTTTTTTAGCTTTGTAGAGTTTTTTAAACTGTTTTACAAGGAGCACAAAACTCTCTCAATAATGGAACAGGTAATTCTTCTGGTTGTTTAAAATGTGAATATTGCTTAAGCGTCCAGATTAGGACTCAATTATGGCAACTGTGTGTGTGCATCTGCGTGTGTGTGTGTACCTGCAGGGAGTTGAGGAGGATAAAGATGTAGGCCATGACAATGGAGAAAGGCACCAAGACGCCACACAGCCATGTCAATCCGAGGATGGGCAGCAACACCAGCACTGCTTTCACTGCAGCCCTGTTCTCTCACACACACACACAAACAGAAACAATAGCACAAAAATGTAAGCATTTACACTTTCGCACTGACAAACATACAAACATACACACATAAAATTATTATCAAGCACACACACATACCATAAAGACTCAGAACTGGCTGACTGAGCTGAACTTACACCACACCAGATAAAATTAATTAAAGCATTCCCTAAAAATTCTCCTTCCTCCCTGATCATCCTGTGCTCAATTCTGTGTTCCTAAACTTTTCAGTTCTTTTTTGGACAAAACTGAGCGGCTTTGGCAGGCTGGTTTTTCCATATACAACACTGTGCGGCTGGGAAAGCTCATGGGGTGACAACTTCCCACCTTAAATCCGCCTTAATTCTGTTTAGAGTGGAATTATCTTCCTGCTCAGGTGACCGCCAAACCGCACCAGCTGTGTGTGTGTTCGTGTGTGTGTGACATGGCGGGCAGCCCTAGTTTACTCAGCGGAGGAATGTGTTTGAATTTCCGCGATGGCTGCCACCCAGGGGTGCCAAACGGTTCAAGGCCTGCTTTGAAAACCTTCATAAAGCACCTACTGTGAGCCCCGGTGGGCTGAGGTAGTGAAAAAATATATACACTTTAACATGATTTTCACTGATAGGATCATATACAAGCCTGCTGGGGGAAATCTACTGGATCACACGCAGCAGGATTTTACTGTGACGAGCGAACAACAGTGCCAAAAAAAGGAAGTGAAAGACAATGGCAAAGACAGCAGTGATAGGGCTTAACAAGATATTGCTCCGCATTGACACTGCAGTGCAAGTTTAGCCATGGTAGACCATATCAAAACTAGTAAACTTTTAGTTAACTTACAGAAAATCTAGTCGATCTGATTAATAACATGCAGTTATTTAGGCTGATTGAATTACATTTTGGTTACTGGTTTTTGCAAACTCTGCACCTCAAATGACGAATCACAAGACAGAAATAGAACACATAAATCAAAAAACAACAAACAAGTCCATTGTTTAGATTTATATGAAGCATTCAGAGCTATAGAACTCTATATCTATCTTTTTTTAATTCAATTTCATTGTATATTGTCTCAGCCTAAGGCAGCAACAAATATTACATGATTAATAAAATAAAAAAAAATACAAATGTAGATATTCTTGCATCACACCACTGCAATGGTTAAGATATCCCCCCCCCCCCCCCCCCCCACATATTTTAGAGATCATTTTGGAACATCAATATTTGAATTAGGGTTTAATCAATGTGGTTTTCTTGAAGGACAGTACTGCAAAGTGCTGCTAATTTTGGGCTGAAGCTGTTTGAGAGGATATTTTACGTCTTCACAGCCCATTCTCAGAGTTTACCCCTAAAATGGATTTGCAATTTTCAGAATATTATGAATGCATTTTGGTAATAATATTAATAACACCACTACAAATGCTACCGTCCATGCTTCCATTACTGACAGTAAGAATTCAAACAATCCTACAACTGCAACAAATTTAGTAAAGACCCCATCAAACTGTTTTAATGAAAAACTATATTTATGCAATATTTCAGAAATAACACGTTGTCTATACATTGGTCGAACTAAACGACGTGACATCAGTAAGAACTGTAACATTTAAATCAGCCAATACTGTCCCAAAACATCAGAAAACTCATATCTGAATAATTTCTGTATCTTGTCAACACAAGTGGTTAAAGCTTGAAGCCTTTTTTTTTAAAGGGCTAAAGCAATCCATTCAAATTGTATTCCTATCTTGTTTAATAAATGAGGCTCGCTGTTTAAATGATGACAGATCCAATACAATGTTTTTTATCTGACACCCAGATACTACAGCTCATTTGCTCTAAGGCCTGTGGCCCGGGAGAATAATCTTAAAAAAGAGGACAAATGGCGCCTCCTTGTGGTTTGTACCTCATTTGCTCATAGGCCTGTTCTGCAGGACTGGTGTCCATAGCCAACATGATGGACCTTCTCTTGGCTGTAGAGATGGTGATTACGACAACCCTGGTCAGTACCATGATATTCACCTGAAAGAAAATGAGAGGATACAGAAATGAGAGGAGGCAAAGTCAAAGTGACAGAGAATGAGCGCAGAAGAGGTGCACTGAGATGTGAGGGTAAAGAAAATCAAAACAGAGAGAGAAAAATGATAAAGTAGATAGATATACATGTTGACATATCTATGAGTAGGAGATTGTAAGAGTCAAAAGGAAAGATTAAAGAAATAAAGACTCTTATACGTAACTACTGCTGTTCACAAAATGTTGAACGGGAAACCTTTCCATTTCCTGTTTTATTGCTAACATTAACTTCCAGTTAGACATAATTTGAAGAAAAAAATGTCTGCATGTGCCCTTGGATTTAGTATTTTAACCATTTCAGCCTGATCAGACTGCATAATATGATTAGGATTTCATTTTCTAACCATGATGATGAAGATGATGGGTCCAGCAAAGCCCCAGATAACGCCGTTCTGGACACTCAGCCAACAGTAGCCATCAGCAGAGTATTTGCCCGAGGCTGAGGCCAGTGTGATGGTGACTATCAGTACAGGCAGACCTGGTGGGAAAGAGGGGAAAACAGAGGAGGAGAATCAAGGAGAGAAATAAAAGTTGCAATACATAGATAATAAGGAAGAGGAAGGGATAAGAGGAAAATGAAGAAGGGAGGAGGAAATTTGATCTATATTTAGAGACCAAATGGTCACAAATATCAGGCTAAAATTTATTTTTGCTTCATGAAAGTCTTATTTTATGCTTCCCACAACTATGGTGTATAAACTGAATATACAACATTGTATTTATGTCAATCAAAAAGAACATTTAACAAAAAACAACTTTTGGGTTTACATCCAGGAATTTATCTTTTATCATTAGACTGCAATGTCATTCACAACAAAATCCTGGATATTGACTGCACACGTGTGAAGAGAGCCATTTGGCTATTGTTAAGCCGTTTTACCCCAGCCGATGAGATAGTAATACTTCATGTGTCGGTCCTCGCTTAGGTTGACTGCGACCACCTTGCTCCAAAGGAGCAGACCCTCTACCAGCATCCAGCTAAAGGCTGCCATGAAGAAGAGATGGAGCAGTGCTGCCACAAGTGTACATGCCACCTACAAACACACCAACACATGCAGACAGATGTACGTTTCATATTTCAAGGGTTAAGGTTAGGCTCCTGATAAACATACCAAGCAACTACCCCGCTTTTGGGAGTTTATATGTAGTGGGATTGTTTTATTGTACATTACTTTGGATTCCCTAATGTTCACATCATTTGCAAGGATCTGTTTTATATGAGGAAACTTGTCTGCCTCCAAAAATCCAATCTAAATTTGCACATGCACAGGGACGTCTGTGGTGACTAAAAGAAAGTTTAGCTGACCAACTGTACATTCTGCATCTAGGATGCATGTATTTATCTTGTACATTTTGCAAACTATATTTTGAAAATTAAAACGGCAATAAGTGCTAATAAATACAAATAAATACTCTGCAAACAAGCAAGAATCAACTCTATATATATCAAAAGAATTTATAGTAGAATTGATTGCATTTCACTTTTTAATTGCCAAAAAAAGATGGGAGGGACTTCTGTCCTGAAACACGCACACAAACAAAAAGTAAAGTTAAGTAACTATATGCAGCTCATGATTGAAATAAATAAAATAAATAGAAGATAGAGAGTTGGTTTAATGGTAGAAAAAAGGCCATACAATACATATTTTATCACAGATTAAATCCCTGCAACTGTCAAGCAACAAAAATATATCCTACTAAAACATCCTTAAAAAAAAAAACTGAAGCCCTCCAGGATAATTCAATAAATAGCTCTGGATTGGCCCAAGCCATGTGTTAAAAACCTTGTTAAAAACTGAAAAATTACCTCTGTGACGGTCAGTCAGCCTATACATATGAGGCCATTTGATGAATTTCCAACAATCAGCCACCTGCCCCCAGGGGTAAAGCCCACCCTGACATGACCTGGGGTCAAAGGACCAGGGGTCAAACCAACTACAGGCCATTGGTTGACAACTGAGAGACTGGACCATGTGTTCTAGCTGATGGATACGACATTAGTGGCCACTTATGTAACATCCGACGCCAAACCATTTGTTTTACTAGCAATGTCGGTATGGATTTGGATTTCAAGTTTCATTAAGGTAGCAATAAAAACACAGTGCTGTGGGTCAACATTTAAATGTATAGGAAAGTAGACAATAACTAAACCGCCATTTCAAATTTCCATTATCTTGCTAACAATAACACACAGTAAGTACTGTACATTATTGATTGTAATACTAATGTTATATATTAGTTTTAATTCACCTTAATTTGTCCCCAGTCTTCCCCTAGTATAACCACATTAAATCTTATGTATTGGCAAACATAATAACAACGTTTTAGTTGTCTGCCCATACCTTGTTGTGAATGGCTGAGCCACTGCAAAGCAGTATCACCTGGGCACAGATCAGAGCGATGAACAGGTTCTTATGGATGGATGTCCTATCAGATTTGGGGATACTATGGACAGAGAAGGGAATTTTTTGACAGATAATGAAATATGGTTAGAAGTGACTAGAACACTGATGACAAATTTATCATCATTAAAGCACAGCAGATAATGTACGTAACAAGTTAATGCAAGCAACCAATTGAGTCTGAAAACAAGAAAACAAAACTGGTGAATGAAAAATGGGAAGGGAAAGGCTGCAATGTTATGAGGGCCTTTACACTTTTTATCTGACCTGTATTTATTCTTCGCTAAGCCGTGAGCTAAGTGTTATGGTATGGTGTTAAGGTAACATACCTACTGTTAGCACGTTTCATGCTGGCTGAGATTTTATATGGAACATTTAGAATAATATCAAACATTCCTCTCAAAGCAAAGCTAAGGTGGACAGTAATTCACTTCCTAGTTTCAGAAGTAGGCTACTCGGTCATAAACTGAAGTAATAGACAAGTGTTCATTTTGTGGCGCTGAAAGCGGACAGCGCTACAAAAAGTGAGGGGATCAAAAAAAAAACCAATTGGATTCATCCACCGGTGTCCATGACTGTCTGTACCAAACTTTGCTGTAATCCATTCAATAGTTGTCAAGATATCTGATTCTGTACAACAGTGTTGGGCTGATGGAAGGGCTGATTGACCAACATTTCCATTGCTAGATTTACTAAATATCATTAATATATCCAAGGCTATAAAATGACCTGACTCTGATGACCTATGCGTGCTTTGACTCACATAATAGATTCTACTTGTTCTAAACTCTTCAGGCTCTAGATAGTTTCTTACTCATTAGGCGACCACCAATCCTAAACAACAGTAACAGTAAACATATGTGACAATACAGGGTTACTCTTCTGAATAAATACATATATTGCAGATCAAAATAATAAGTAAGTGCGAATATCCAGTTCAAGTTGACAAGTGCAATTACATGAATGAGACTGGCTCTGAAATACTGGAGATTGACAGCGAAACAGAAGCACTGGAGAAAGGATTAAAATTGTGGAGAAAGCAAACTCAGCGTTTGCAGATTTGCTAACTAGCTAGCTCCTCCATGCCACCCAGGCATCCATGCTATAGGGGTCATCAGGGGACAAACAAACTGAAAAGACTAACGGGATAACAGCAACATTGGAATTGGTTTCACGTATGATTAAATGTACAGGTACTTTGTGCTTGGAGTGACTTTTAGATCATAATTACAGCATTCAATAAATATTTCACACATTCCCAGAATTTATGATTATTTAATACTTTTTAAGGCATTTTATTAGTAAATGAATTGAAGACATTTGAAGACTTTAGAGATATATTCTAGACCTATGTTTTTTCCTTTATTCCTTCCTGTCTATTGTAGGTTTGAAGGTGAGATGAGTTGAAGAGATATTAATGTAGACTGTCTTCAGACAGCATCAACAGGTTACATATTTCCATCTCAGTTTCAGATTTCCATTTACATAACATCAAACAAACAGCTGAATCTGTGTTTTGGGTGATGTGTGTGTATTTAAGTACACAAATGCATCTACATCATACACCATCGTGTGTGTGTGTGTGTGTGTGTGTGTGTGAAATGCATGGCTGCACTCTCTGATTTCAGGACAGTCATAAATCGACACGGCAGCACCTCTCCAGCAGATTGTGATCCCTCAGTGACCCTAATGTTAATTAATGGCTGTAGGATACCGCCATAAACCTTCTGAGTAGACTCACATGTAGACCACAGTAATTACTGGATTAGCACTAGTCAATACTCATAGCAACCTTAAGAACAGAGCACAAGCAATACAGTGCCAATAAGTTATCTCTCTCTCTTTTTAGTGTGTGGCAGTTAGTGTCACATCAAATCCGATGTGCAGATCTGACAGTGGCATATATACCTTAAATATACCTTATCCCAGGTTGGTAGGGTGCATGGTTAATTTCAGCATACCTATGTTTAAAAAAAAAACTATGAACTTTACAGGTGGTATACCTGTTAATCCATACAAACCTAGTATAAGGTATTGACATCATGAGTGGCAGAAACAACTAATTTCTAGGGATTTAAATGTTATTGATGCAATTGGATTGGCCGAGTGGAACCAAAATTCCCAAGTAAATAAACAAGTCCTACATTGGCCAATGGGAAGCCGTTATCTTGAACGGACTTTTACGGTTGATAGGTTGGTTGGTAGATTTAAATACAGAACACTATTATACATAGATCTAATTTCAACTCTTGTGGGATTGTAAATATATAACCTTTGTTATATAACCTTTGATTTTGTGTGGCTTAATACATTTATCCACACAAAAAGGGGAGAAGAGTGGTGTGCATGGCATTTTATTTTGGCATCGCAGGTATGAAAATCAGCTACTCACTCCAGCACAGTGAACAGCATCAAGGTCACCACCAGCGCACACAGAGACGCGCCAGAGCCGATGAACGTCAGTTTGGTCAAAATAAGCTCTTCCTCAGGAGTCCACTGGGAAAGAGGGGAAAGGTAGTTGTGTGAGGGAGAGAGAGAAAAAGAGAATGAGGAGGAGAATGTTATCAAAATCACAGGTTTGATCCAGCTGAATTTTTGTAACAGCTAAATGCAAAAAAACATTACAATTTTAAATCGTCAAACTGCTGCTGATGGTTCTGCTTTTTGTTTGTTTTACTACTGTTTATGTACACATTGGATAGACAGAAGGACAAGTTCTAACAATGCATTCTTCAATAGGATATACTGGGAGTGACGCCTGCTGGTCAATACCGTGTACTACAAATCCACAATTTCAGAGGTCAAAGATCACAATTTGGATTTAGATCTTACATCAGCAACGTTTAGATTTAGATGTATATTATTGTACTCATTTCAGTCACGAGAAGGAAAAAACAGCTATCATATATGATCGAAATTCATCACACCACTCATGACCTCAACCACAGTTTAAAGTCTAGTTTAGTTAACATTTTCTCTCGTGCAGCCTAGCTGCATCACAACGCATCTCGTGATGTACCTTCGACTCCAGGTAATTCATCAGCACTGCAAAGTTGGTGGTGTGGTTACATTGACAGGAAGTGACACCAGAGCCGGCAAAGGTCACCCTGCAACCATCACTGGACCAGCTGTTGGAATGATTATGCCTATACAGCACAATACATAAGCAAAGACAGACACAAACACACACTCATCAATAGGTTTTAGAGAGGAGAGATGTTAAGTATTACACGTGACTAATTAAATATGTATATATAAATAAAGGTTACGTATCTATCTGTCGAAGGATATCTAATTTTGGAATGAAACGCATCATATGTACATTTATTATATTTGATTGTTGTCTTCAGGATTAAGATATACAGCATCAAAGTGTGAAATATGTCCTACAAATTAATTGTACACTTCATCCACAGCCTAAATCTCTATCCAATAACACATTTATTAATTAATTTGTCAGGGCTTTTTATGTAACTGTGTAGTTGGTCAAACTCACATCAAGCTGAAATTCCAAAAGACACAAACAGGAGTAACACGCTGTGAGTACTCCCCCTAGAAACAGAAACATATGTTTGTTTACACTCATGTGTAATGACATATTGCGTTCGGTTAGTTTATCAAATAAATTTCAGTTTCAAGCCAGAACTCAAAAAAACTATACTCTGAATGGTATCCATCTTAATACGTTGTTAACATTGCAGAGCCAATTTAGCATACCTACATGATCTTATCACTTGACTGTCAACAGACTGTCTGGCTGCTCCAAACTAGAATGAATTTAGTAAAAACTTGTCTAATCAGTCTTGATGCCCCAGCATATATAACTGATATCATGGGCTTAATAATCACCGCCATGAACAATTGACTATACCACATGTGATGAGGAAAGGGTGTACTCGACCGCCACAGGGATGGTTTGAGCCTTGAAGGTATCACGAACGGTGGCTGATATGACAGCAGAAGCCAGGTGACCTGGGAGAATTCTGGGAAGGCAGACAATCTGTCTTAAAGGTCATAAATACATGAAAGGCTTCGATCCAAACTACTAGTATCCATTGTCTGAAGGATCCCTACGCTTTCAAAAAAATTTAAGTAAAAGTGCAAACACACTGTACTTAGTTTAGCGTATTATCAGAAAAGTGTGAGCATTTGTGTGGCATTTTTAAGGAAATTAAAGAAGAATTAGGAACTTACTTCTACTGTGCCTCAAGTATAACATTGTGGGTTCTGCTGATTAGATGGTTGTAACAACTGGTTTCCAGAACCGCTGAGCTATTATTATATCTATATTGCAAATAAAATACCCTAGCAATCTGGCATATGGTATATTTAAAACAAGTAAACTACAGCCAACCTTTTTACTTTCTCTTGGTGACTCAGTGCAGGCTCCTGTACTCCAGAAACAATCTCACTCAGATGGCTGTAGTGGGTATGAATAAACATCAATTCTGTATATCCTGATTGGAGACAAGAGGAGGGAAAGAGCACATTTATTTTCATCCTTTTAGTGAAACAAAATATTTTGCTGAGCATCACTTCAGTTTTGCTGTGTCACACTTCCAACACCCCTTTTACACATTCAAACATTATAGCTGCCTAATGCAAACCCATCATTCAGTTTTATTTACTGATATGCTCAAAGTTCTGTTTCCATAATTGCTTCCAATTATTTTATACTTATATTTCATAGTCACAACTACAGTTCCATATTCACCCCCAGTAGCAACAATGGCATGTGTGTTTTAATTATTAGTTTGATCTTAAGAATAAGTGCTGCCCAAAACATTATGCCTCAAAGTGTAGCTATAGTGCCTTAATCAAACAACAATTAAACTCCAGGCAGTATGGGCACATGTATTCTACTTCGTACCGAATACTGTAATACACATGTAATGGGTGTGTGCATAGAATTTGTACAGTACATCTTAAAAATATGTGTGGACACATTTTTCCTTTAATATTGGGTTTACCCTCTATGATAAGTGCATATTTGTGTGTGTGTGTGTTTCCTACCCAGACTGTGTAATCTTTGGAGTTCAGTGTCAGGGATAAGCAACTCATCCTGACCACTGCTGCTGGCAGTGTGAGAGCTGACTGCAGATGGCTTGAAGACTTGACGACAGCTCTCTTCAGACAGTTTCTGCCACTTCATGTACACATCTGGCAACAAAAGACACCAGAGGATATCCAGATAATAGTAACCATGAGTAGAAATGTAAGACTATTACAACGGTATTACAATGTGACAAAGTCAAGAGTGATGGTGGTAGACCTATGAGTATAATTTAAAATTATTCCCTGAACTCTAAACTTGTAACCACTGCAAAAACAAGGAGATGGAGTGCAATATGACAAAAGTCAGAATAGCCTAAACATAAACAAACAACAAATTGCAATATACACAAGAATGCTTGCTGTTTTCTTCAAGTAAAATGTGTCATCGACAATTTTGTGAACAAAATGTTACCCTTTGAAATCCAATTTTTTTCTTCATCCAAATCTTTCTTCAATTTTTCCTTCTACATCTCCACTGAAATTGTACCTCCTCCAGTAATTTTCAAATAAGCACTGACGGATAATCAATGACATTTTTTATTACCTATATTCTTGGTAGAAAGACTGAATCCTCTTCCCTCGGCAGATAGCATGTCTGCGAGAGTTTCAGTGACATTGTCAATGCTCTTGACAATAGTAAACGGCCCCACGCTTACCTGTACATGAAATACAAACCCAACAACAAAAAGTCAGACTGAGACTCATGGAGGAGAAAGGACAGCTTTTCCGGGGTAGGAAAGTTATTTGACCTCATCCCTTAAAGGAGCAATGTGTAGGATATGTCATGTTGTGTATCGTTATCTTTTGTCTTCTCGTTTTCATGAAATTAATAAAAACAAAGTTCAAGTAAGGGCTAACACATTGCTCCTTTAAAGTGGGATCAAATATGCAATATAAACATGGTAATATTGTTAAGATAAAGACAACTTGAATCTGGGTTGAATCTGAGTTACAAATAAGGTTCTACCCTACAGCCCAGAAACATCTTTAGGTACAATTAAGCTGTCATTTTTTGGGGGTAAATTAAAAAATCTAACTGTTAAAAAATAATTAAACCTTTGAGAATTTTTGGTTGGGTAAACAGATAATTCACAGGTCCCCAACTCACCCCATACTCTGTCAGGCCCATCCACTGTGTAGCCATGTGGGGCTCCAGCATCAAACTCGCCATCTTTACGTAGTTAGTAGCAATGGACACCATGACCTCCGCTGCATCGTCTCCAGCAGATTGAGTGCTAGCCAGTGCAGTCAAGTCTATCTCAATCATCTGGGTGAGGTAGAGGACATCACTGGAGGCGGGGAGGTTCGAGCCACCGGCCTCCAACGTATGCAGAACGGCCTGGGTCAGCTGCTGCAGCAAGGTCAGATCTCTGTTCCAGGAGGTGTTACCACTCAGCTCCTCCATCGCCATAGGAAGAGAATGATATACATTTTGATTACATTCATTGCCTGAGGGAAAGAGGTTGATGCTCATTCACTACTTCTCTGTCTTTAGACCTCAGGCTCACAGTCACTGTTCATTAATTACAACAGGTTCTCTAGGATAGGATTTTGACCCAGTAAGTTAGTCCTGACAAACAGATTTGAAAGGCGCCAATTCTACGTTTAACATGGCCAACATTTTCTCCACTGCACAGGCAAAATGAAACTTGATAATGATAGAAACAGCCTGTGTTGCTTCAAAATTGTGAAATCTTTTTACCATATCAGTGTCTTATCTGTATTCGCAGGTGTTGAACTGCCTCTGCACTGATATCAGCAAGATGAGTTAAGAGATCATTTATCATACTGGACTACCAAAGTGACGTGTGCTACAATGTAACTGTCCAACTCACAGGCTTGGTGAGAGCATACTTGCTCAGTCTACTGAAGAATGGCGTCTTTGGTAAAGTGAAAGCATCCAGCGCTTCTGCAGACAGAAAAAGAGACATACATTGTATGATACATTGTAATGCAATCTATTGCAGAGAAACATCACAAACTACAGCAATTTTTTAAAAAAAAGTGTTACAACAAGAATGAAAAAAAAATAAGAGAAAAAAGAAAAGATTAAAAATGAATCAACATTATCATTATCAGTATTTTCATTATTATTATTATCTGTACCTTTCTTAAACTGGCAAACAGCCCCTCTGTATGAGTCACACTTGACTAGGTTCAGGCTCCCATTAACAGGGTCAAAGACGCCACAATTCTCATCAGACTGAGAGCTGTGGGACACCTCAAAGTACAACGTTTGATTCTGCAAAGAATGTCTGTCCAGGATATCCAAGAACGAATTTGCTAAGACAGTGAAGTTTCCTAGTGAAGGAAAAAGTGAAAGTTATTCTTAATGTTAAATTAATCAGGAAAATTGAACATTTGGAAAATTGAGAGTCAGACAGTTTTTATTAGGTACAATATTTCCAAAACATGTCAACTATAAAATTAAAAGTACACAACATCCTAACATGTTTATATGTAATAAACTCCACGTTGCTGAGCCAACACTCCTTTAGCTAACTAGTTTTACTGAAATTACCCAAATAAGTGCTTTCTGATCTATTATCCCTATGGCTAGTGTGCAAGTAACTATGCAATAGAAACGTACGGTTATAAAAAGAAGAAGAAGAAGTTAAGGAACCTTGGTGTAGTAGTAAGAAAAAGGCTGGTCTTTTTATATGAATAGATAACAGGATGTGGGTCTTGGTCTAGAACACTTTGGTAGAAAGGAACTGCAACCGGTCTGATGAGAAAGTTGAAGGGAAAACTTAATGAGTACGACAGGGCACCATGTTGGTTAAAGCCCTACTGTATAACTGACTGACTATAAGACTGAAGGATCAATCCTGGCAACAGCCAGTCCTTCATAAACTATTGTACACAAACCCTGACTTACTGTCTGTAAGTTGATCTTTGAAAGACTTTTTTTAAATGAATTCCTACTGTACTATTCCTACTGTAAATGAAAATCCCTCAAAGATTGCAAGCTCCCGCTCCTCTTTGCATGTTCAGTTCCAGGAGGGGGAGTCAGTGTTTTGGACTCTCATTGCTCACTGGGGAGCATGATGTCAGAACGGGAGAAGTTTGTTTTGAAGGGTGGGATTCAAAGTGACGTGAGTCACAAAACATTTACAAGAACCATTAGGAACCCTGACGTCTGCCAATTGCAACTTGGTCACCATCTCCTCTGTTCATTGGAGGGTGAAAACAAGAGAGCGCAAGGGAGACAGAGATGTACTTTTTGCTTAAATCTCAATACATTTCCAGTAGTGCTTATTGCTGGAAACGTGTCTGTGTGTGTTAGCAAGTGTTTGTTTACGGCATATACGTAAGTGTGCCAAAGCATGCAATGCATTCAGAAAGTATTAGGGGTATCCTGATCAAGCTTTTTTCCTGATCCCAATCTGAGGCATTTAAAAATGAGTATAATCATTGATTATATTATCAATATAATATATATTGCTACATTCCTCTGTGTTATATTAAACACACAGATTGCTCTTTTGTTGGTGTTTTAATTGTTCGTTTTATTTAATGCTTAGTAATGCAGTTAAATGTGCAGACTGTTATGTTATTTTTATACTTTGTGCTCATAACACATACATTTTAAATAAGAGATTTTATGTACTTTTTGAAGTACGTTTTGTTAACTACTTTTCTCTCAGTGTGTACTTTACTATTTAATGGTTTCCCTTTTTCAATTAGATAAGTTGTTTCATTGATGCTTCCCACTGTTTAAGACTAGCACTCAAAGCATATTATTCCAAGTATTTAAGACCACCTTTTAGGTGTAACCAACAGCATGTAAATTACATCATGATTGGGCCTAATAAGGGAGACTGAGACTGAAGGAGTGTGGATGTAGAAGATGATGAGACAGAGCAGGATTGGGTCTAGTTACATGTGCAGTTTATTCAAAGCATTTATTTTACCCTGCTTGGAATGCCAGATGGGTGGAGTTTACCACATCAGGCCAGTTCAGATCTTGGCATGTTGCTGAAAAGTGAGTAGTTTCAAAATGACTTTCAAATGGTCTCTCTGTGATTGTTTCTTTTTGCATAGCAACCACACCTAGCCATAGTGCCAAACTAGCTAAACTGTAAACATAATTTGAAATCGATGCCTAACTGTAACACTTGTAGAGTCTCCTCTGTCTCTTATGGTGTGAATTGTTCCTGTACTTCCCTGTATTTGGTGATTAAATTAGCTTGATCTAGATTCTGGTAACCCTTTAACATCTTACCCTGCACCTAACAGATGTACCTTGACATGGGTTGACTCTCCAAAGCCTCGTAAGGGAGGAATCTATATCCATTGCTGTTTCACTCCACTTGAACACCAGCCCAGAGGAAATGGGTGAACAATCCTTTTCCATGGCGTAGATTTCGCTGCTGTTCAGTACCCGATCCCATATGTGCAGCTCAGTGATGCTCCCTGAGAATGACTCATCCTTCTTAAAAGAGCCCCCAAAGGTGTCCTGCTCCTGTCCGATTATAAAATGGCCATCACGGCCAATGGCGTTAGAGCTGTTTAGGCTATCACCCCTAGAGACCACGGTGCCATGAGTAAACAGTGCCCAGCGTCCACCATTCTGGCTCCAAGAAACGCACACTGAGTGCCAGGAGTCGTCATGGTCAAAGGCGTCTTCGTAAGGTCCATGAGTGCCATGGACCAGCAGAGCCAGCTTAACAGGCTTGCCCTGGATCAGGTTCGCACGGAGCTGGAACTCATTAATAAATGACTTGATGGAATAAGAGAAGATGGTGGAAAATCCAAAGCAATTTGGGTCGAAGCGGAGACGGGTGCAAACGGTCACTGAGCCCATGGCGGGGAACTCGTGTAGGAGACGGGCATGCTTCCTGTCAGAGCGCCCGGTGAACTCGAGAATCAGGGTCTCCGAGGAACCTTAGGTTTCACCCCAAACAGGGAGAAGAGAGAGGCATTACTGTGAAGAAAAAAATGCTGGCACAGCTCTTGGAATAGATTGCACGTAATCATAAAATTTGTACTGTAAACACATGGAACACATTTATTCACTGTAGCTGAGAGTGTTCTGTGGCAGCATCGTCAGTCCCATTTTATATTCTGTTACCCTTTTTTGTGAAGTCAGTGAGTAGTAAGAAAAACACTACTATTACAGAAGAAAGGTTGCTAATATGTTAATATAAAGTGCCACAAATAGCACACTGAACCTACTTGTCGGCGGTGTCATGACTTTCCTGGAAATCCACACAGGCTGAGAGATATTCAAGGATTTTAAAAAGCTGGTTAGCTCTTGGCTCTCTACTGAGTTGGAGACAATGGCTAAAGCTCCAGAGCGCTGGTTGCACAGTTCACCTGCAATGTTCCACTGCAGGCGATCAGGAACATACTCATAGTAGGACTCATCGTATGTCAGGGTTCTGGCTGGCAGTGTAAAAGCTGTTCAACATAGAGAAGATGAGAAATTAGTGGAGAGATACATACCAGACAGCATCGGTAAGAATTCCGGCAAAAATGGCTGACTGTGACTCATATCTGGGACACGCTATAATCAATGCTTCTGGAGTAAATTTAGCGGTAGGGCCGTGCTACTGTTGATGACAATGTAGAATAATGTGAGAACAAGTTTCCCCAAATGATTCACCATAATGATGCTGTGATGATAAAAACGACACTAGTGACATTTAGAGAAAGCTCAAGTGAGGTTTTGTATTCAGAATTTACAGCGAGCCACCCGCCTAACGATGATGTGAATGTTCCAAGCCTTTCTGTTCAACTATGACGGACAAGTAAACGTGCTGTTAAACAGAGGTGCGCCAGTCACACACTCAAGACAAATCTCCATCCAAATGTAGTGGAAATTTCCAGAAAATCAGGAGAGGAGAATGGGGATGAATGTTCATTTCCATCCACATATACAAATATTAGGAGATAAGTCGCATCAAGATTAACAGTTGGGTGCCATTGAACCATTGCAGAGGAAGAGGGCGCAACAAGATGATGTAATTAAATAGCATCAGTCAAACCTCCAACCATAGAACATAGTGTGTGGAAAAATGGTGGAAATATGGCACTGAAGCTTATTGCATGCATTCATTTTTGCGGCATTACGGCCATTGGCTCCCACACTTTACGCCTCTAGCTAAAATTTTAAGTCGTTTTAAAGTCGCCAATCACTGTATCCCAAAATATTAGGTTCAATTTCCCCTTGTGAGTCTGTGTGCGTAAACATGTGGTCCTGAAGTCCCCTACTGTAGCAGGTGTTTATATGTCTGTCTCTGGACAGATTTTGTCAAGACAACTTTACAGGTGTGTAGTTGACAAGGCTTTTTTCTACTTCCCGAGAGTTGTCACTGTCACTTTTTACCCAACCGTCCAATCACAGAGGAGCTTGGACGGGACAACCAATGGTACTCGCAGAGACGTTTCCTCATCAGCAAAATCTCATGAACCCAAAATAGGCCGCTTTTGGTGTATTAATGACTATTTCCTATACTTAGGCCACTACTGGCTGCTACTTGGGCTAATTTGTTTTAACGTGTACTCATAAAAACAAAGTTCAGTCTTCACCAGTACTGCAGATCAGAACGTTTAGTCCTCTTTAGTCCGTTTAATCACTTCCAGTAAGTAACTCAAAATAATAAAACAAACCCAACGCAGTCTGAGCACACTTAAAAACGGTTCGCTCCTCTTCCTAAATTAACAACACCTGAGCCATGAATGACAGGAACTTAAATGACTTAAGGCCAGCCACGACCTTTACAATACAAAAACAACACTCCACTGTGGCTTGGAGGAATACTACGCAAATCAAAACATGGCTCATACAGGTGTATATAGCAACTTTTTTTTTCCATTGTCTGCAATGAGGTGAGCATGTAGGTGCTTTTCAGATTTTCAACACTTTCTCTCCTTTTCAGGCAACCAGTGGGGTGGGACTCGTCAACCTGGTAACCAAGAAAATGGTGGAGAAGCTCGTTCTAGCCGTGTCTGGGTCTGTCCTGATCTTTATGGTATGTTTAGACAGACACTCACCCTTATACACTTAATGGGCTGTGTGGTCAACCCTGTGTTAACATGGCGTTAAGTTGTGCTGCTTTTTTTTTTTACAGAAAATAAAAAATAAAGAAAATAAAGCAGTAGGTATAAGGCAAACACAAACCTTTAAATAAATTCATTCATTAGTGTGAAAATGTGAAATTTGGATGGCAGCCCTTTAATGTTTAATGCTTTAGTGAAAACCTCTGGTTAGCTTACTAGTTGGTGGTTAAGGTTAGGGTTACTTACAAGGTTAGGAAGACTAGCTAGGTTAACTACTGGCTCTAAAAAGAGAAAAAGAAAGCGACTCACCTGATATACAGCTTTGTAAACAAACCTGAAACATAAATTAAGTTTAGCTCATCTTTGTATGGCACAACACTTCATTCACACGTGTTGCCGTCGTCCTACACCCAATAATAAACTGTGTTCAAATGGTTATCCCGCTTTTGGATGTTTGTATTGAGTTTAATCCGTGTTTATTTTTTCACCTGTGAATTCGCATTAAAGTTAATTGCCTACAAATGGACATGGCGCACTGATTTATCACACAGTCAGGCAAATGGAAGCTGTTGGGATGTGGCCGCACAACTCTCAAAGACTTTACCTCGTTAAAAGTTCAATTCAAATATCCTACATGAGGGAAAACGTAAATATAAAAGATTAAGTACTTACAAGCAGGGCTAAATTGGGCAACAATAACAAGTGCATCCTGAAAAAAACAAAACATCATTAGTTGAGAATTAAATTCAATTTGAACGTACTTTGCTTTCTTACGTTGGTCAAACGTAAAAGCCAATAAGAGTGGGTTGTGGAAGCCTACCTGAATGATTCGTCTTAAAAACTTTTTTGCGCGTCTTCTCATTCCACTCGCGTCGTGTCTCTGAACGCAGCATGCAACCACTCCTTTAAGCGTTTTATTTTTTTAACTCCACCGATTTTAAAGTTTTAAAGTATGTGTTCTTCTAAGCTGCCCTCTCTTCAGTCCACTAAAGTAGAGAAGGAACCCTCGTAGACTCCAGAGAGCATGAAGGGAGGATGCAGAGGAAGCTGCGATGAGTGGGAGTGGGTGTAACTGCAGCAGCGGAGCAGCGGGTTGCCAAAACTAGGGTTCAGGGACCCTCCCGGGGCCCTTGAGTAGCTTCCCGAGTGTCTGGTAGTAGCTAGATGCTTGCACGATGACTTAATGCACAAATGAATATGAACCCATTAATCAACTAGGACTTCATGATATAAAAATAATAATACAGTTTGGGATCCTTTAGTCTGATGCAATAACTCCCAAACTAAGGTACAGGGCCCACACATATTAGTATATTACATTAATATCTGTTCTTAGTATATTACACTGATATTAGTAAAGTAATAGTTATGCCACAGTTTATTTCCATATAAATTAACACAGTAAGGATGAATGTGTAAGAGAATAATAATGTAATTAGCAGGTTTCACTCTCAGACGACAAATAAACGTAATAACCATTCATTCCAAGCACAAAATGTATAAGAGGTCAATATGTATGTTCAAATCTGTAATTTCAGTATTTAATTCACTCCAAGGTAGCCCATTTAAGGAACGTGTATATGAATGTTTAGATAAATGTGAAATGTTTATAATGTAAACTGTGCTGGATTCCAGTATTAACAACTAATAACAAAATCTCCTTATAGGCGCAGTCTTCACCAGGAGCTTTACTGAACAGTGACCTGCAGTATGAAAGGTTTGGGTCCTTGTCAAATCAAGCCACATGCATTTATTGCAGAAGTACAAGTTCATCCATTATTTTGACATATAAAATTTTAACACAGTGATACAAAAATACTGAAAGGACATAAAATACCACTTTGTTGAAGTACATGTATTAAGAAGAAGTTTCTCCAGAGTGCAAATTGTTGCAGGACACGTTATAACAACATAAAAGACTTTATGAAAATATTAGAACCAAATATAGCTTCATACAAGAAAGAAATCAGATACAGCGGAGAAGGTCAGAATGCCTTTCATTATTTTTTTCTTTTTTCCCCCTCCAGAACACTACCTGAGCTGCTGCATAGTGAAATCTTTTATGTTTGAAGTCATTAAAAAAAGCAACAAACAATAATTTAGAGTCCTCTGAAAAATATAGTACAACATAAAAGACCTGGTACAGCACAAGTGAACAGTCTCCTTACAGCCAACTGTGCCTAATGGTATTTACCCATCATGAGTGACCTTGTTAAACTCTGCACATTCTGGTGAGTGAAGCGTTTGTTCTAATACTTGTATCCAAAATATCTTTAATGCTCTTAGTAGCAAATAATAACTGGAGTTAGAGTGGGTCCTCTTCCACGGACACTGCCATGTTGAACCGCCATGTTTGTACAGTAGCCCAGAACGGACAACCCAAACGCTGGCTGTAGATGGGGCCTTTCACGTTTTAATCGACCATCATAGTTTCTCCTACACGCTTGGAACGGGAACGAGGCAAGGGCGTACTACACACCTACAGCACATCTGGACAGTAGTGCTTTTTATACCCAATCAGAAGTGACACAGTGATAGGAATTATTGCTCTAGTTTGAGCATATTGAATTATTTTGTTTGCCTGCATTTAGTATTTTCTTTGTAATCCAAAAAAATAGCCCATAAAAATATGCAGATATTTAGAGATATTTAAAAAGCAGAGTAGATTGTATGTGAATAGAACACTTTATCAACTTGGATGGTGACACTAAAGAAGACTCTGCAGTGGCTGTTGTATGACCCACTTGTTATTACCAGCAGAAAGCTATCAGCAGTTCATTTTTACAGTAAATCGTACACGATGTGAGTGCATCATGAAGGATAAAACATAGTACAATGCACATCACACCCAGTGTGGGCTGCCTTTGGACGACGCACCAGAAGGGAGAGAGTACACTATCTTACTCACGACTTGATGTCTAACAGCACTGTAAGTGGTAGCACTCTCTTTAGTTAACATTTCATCCTCTGCGCTCTTATCTGAAGCGGCAGAGCTTCTGCCCTCTCCAGCTCCCTGTTGGTTCCAGGAGGACAGGGACTGCAGGGCAGAGTAGAGCTCGTCTCGTGCATCAACGACGCTCTGAAGACAGGGAAGCTGCAGGGACAGCGTCAGTGCTCCCTCCTTGGACAGACCAGTGATCAGCTCATCAACAGCCTTGGCAGAGGAGGAGATCAGCTCTCTGCAGCTGCCGAGGTTGGAGTCTCTGTCTTTTCCTGGAAGGAGAGTGACAGTCAGATAGAAGAAGTCACACAGACACAATACACAAATCTGGTATATTTTGTTGAGGATACACAGATATTACATCAGTGATGATGAAAAACAACTATAGCTTTTATGCCATATTATAAAACTGAAGAAGCTCTGATTGGCAGAGACACAGGCAAAGCTGTTATGAAACACCCAATAAATCCAAATGTAACAGTTCATTATACATAAGAACTGCATACTTTGATGCAAGAGACAACATTTCTAAGTGATGTAAAGTCTGTCAGAGCGCTTCACCTCGCAGGGCGGCAGACAGAGAGGAATGCAGCTGTCTAATGGCCTGGTTCAGCTGGAACAGCTTGGTGGCTGCAGTCCTCAGTTCCTGCAAATGAGAAGCTGAGGCCTCCTCCTCCCCCTCATCCACCTCCTCTGGGTCAGTCTCCCTCGCCTGTTTGAAAACATGAACACACCCAAAAGTGAATACAAGACAGAACAAATAAACAGTACTAAATGCAACGCATAAACACATACACATGAAATATCACACCCTTGGACAATATATCATTTGTTTAAAAAATTCCACTTTCTCGGTTATTAACCACTAAAGAGCTCTTAGTAGCACCAACAGTAATGGCTCGAGGGAGTGTTACTCAACAAATGATCTTATCCTAATATCCTCCAACTACTTCTTCCCCATTGGACTTGAACCAGAGATCTTTAGTTGTCACTTCCAATTCTGTACTTAGTCTAAGAATCACACGGATGCATGCAAACACACACACACACACACATACACACACACAGTTGCAAATGATGTCAGTGAATGAAGGGCTTCCATGGTGATGTGTCCTTTTCTATGACTTCAACCTAAAAGCCTCCTCCCCAGTTCACTACAGCACACAGCAGAAGATGTTGTTGTGCTACATCCTTTACTCCAGCACCCAGTTCAATACACAAGCTATTTCACTTATGTTTAACTTCTTTAACAAATTATTGGGTTTAATACGTGTTTGTCTCTACGTTTTCCTCAAATAAAACATAAATACGTTACATTTTGACCACAAAGTGTAATGACAATCTCATAACTGCTTAAAAGAAAGCCACTTTCCCCCATTTATAACCAACATTTGAATCGCCCTTTTCTAAAAAAGGTGCTACATTAACTATAAAAGTACAATTTTTTGGGTTCAGTAAATGACAACGTCTGCTACAGTAGACATTTATAGATGCATTTATATCGACAATTATGCACGTGTACAGTCCTCGGTTACATGAAAGTAGTTGCCTCAGGCTATAACTCAGGTTTATTTGACTACAATAACACTGTGGGCAGCAAAATGCCCCTGCGCCTATATGTGTCAATGATTGGTTTTAACAAAAAAAAACTGCTAGTTTGTGTGGCTAAGATAACGGCAAACAAGCCTGTTAGCCGTGACTGATGCCACTTCATTCAACACATTCATTACCTGAACGATTGTCAAGGGATGACTGCAGAGAGATAAGCCTACAGAGCATTGAGCTTTACAGGAGCAATAAAGGCTGAGTGGCATCTTTAACAGGCCTGCTGTGGGTGTGGGTATTAATCTGTGACATTTAAGCCTGTGTCAAGATGGAAGATTGTTTTTTAACCTTTACATATCCAAGGAAGCTTTGTTGAGCGTGTATTCAGTCTTTCAAACACCGTCTACCCAAATAATTACCAGTAGTTTTTGTAATGAAGCTGCAGATAGCCAGTGGGTGATACCATTAACCAAATTCTTTAATTTATAAATGTCAAAATTCTGATTTTTGTATGTACAAATAAATTATTGGCAAACTAGAATATGAAACATCATGAAACTGTAAAGGGTAATAAATTATTTAAAAGGGAGTTATGGTTTAGACAATGAAGTAATACAAATATACATCCACAAAAGTACAGCTTGGAGAACAAAATATGTCATTTTCGTGTCATTTTCTGGTTAAGTGTATTTCAAGCATTTTGAATTAATAAATAAAAATTCCAGTTTGGAAGAGGGATTTTGTGGCAGATTTCACTGCTGAAACTCACCATGATATGGCAATGCATGTAGCTCTGCAGAGCACGGGCTAAGTCAAGCATCTTGGATTTTAGGCTCTGCAGGACCTGTAAACAGAGGTGGATTATCAATGATGACATCTGGTTTTAACGAATATTTACCAAGACCTTTATGGGAAGTAAATTATCAACACAAAATCCAATGATATAACCAAGACAACTTGTGTGATAGGATGATTCAAATATAATTCCCAGACAGCCTGGTTATGATCTCTTACTGGGTTTCTGGGGTAGGACAACTGAGCCTCTCTCAGCATTTCTCTGGTGATGATGAGGGAGTCCTCTAAGAGAGAGTGGACGCCTTTCTTGGTCCCCTTTAGCAGGCACAAGACAATGGATTGCTGAAAAGATGCAATCATATATTAACAAATCATATTTTTGATAGCACTTTTCTGGTCAGTCACCAAGAGCTACAAAATACAATAAACACAACAAACAAAGATATTAGTGATGGTTTAGAACAGAAAATGAGAAGTAAAGCCTGACTGATATTGGATGTTTGAGGCCAATAGATGCTGATATTTGAGAATTAAAATAAATCTGATAAAGACAATCAATCTTGACTGATTATATATATAGTTTTTGACATCTTTGGTTTTCAGTTCTCATTGCTCATTACACTACATTTTCCAGAGTTCACCTATCTGAGTCTTTCAAATTGGATGTTCTGTAGGGGAGTTCATTTCTTTGGTTCAGTTATGAATATACTTATGATACACCCTGT